TGCGTCCATGCGCCTAATCGGTGGTAGGTAACTAGGTGCGTCCATGCGCCTAATCGGTGGTAGGTAACTAGGTGCGTCCATGCGCCTAATCGGTGGTAGGTAGCTAGGTGCGTCCATGCGCCTAATCGGTGGTAGGTAGCTAGGTGCGTCCATGCGCCTAATCGGTGGTAGGTAGCTAGGTGCGTCCATGCGCCTAATCGGTGGTAGGTAGCTAGGTGCGTCCATGCGCCTAATCGGTGGTAGGTAACTAGGTGCGTCCATGCGCCTAATCGGTGGTAGGTAACTAGGTGCGTCCATGCGCCTAATCGGTGGTAGGTAACTAGGTGCGTCCATGCGCCTAATCGGTGGTAGGTAGCTAGGTGCGTCCATGCGCCTAATCGGTGGTAGGTAGCTAGGTGCGTCCATGCGCCTAATCGGTGGTAGGTAGCTAGGTGCGTCCATGCGCCTAATCGGTGGTAGGTAGCTAGGTGCGTCCATGCGCCTAATCGGTGGTAGGTAACTAGGTGCGTCCATGCGCCTAATCGGTGGTAGGTAGCTAGGTGCGTCCATGCGCCTAATCGGTGGTAGGTAACTAGGTGCGTCCATGCGCCTAATCGGTGGTAGGTAGCTAGGTGCGTCCATGCGCCTAATCGGTGGTAGGTAGCTAGGTGCGTCCATGCGCCTAATCGGTGGTAGGTAGCTAGGTGCGTCCATGCGCCTAATCGGTGGTAGGTAGCTAGGTGCGTCCATGCGCCTAATCGGTGGTAGGTAGCTAGGTGCGTCCATGCGCCTAATCGGTGGTAGGTAACTAGGTGCGTCCATGCGCCTAATCGGTGGTAGGTAGCTAGGTGCGTCCATGCGCCTAATCGGTGGTAGGTAACTAGGTGCGTCCATGCGCCTAATCGGTGGTAGGTAGCTAGGTGCGTCCATGCGCCTAATCGGTGGTAGGTAACTAGGTGCGTCCATGCGCCTAATCGGTGGTAGGTAGCTAGGTGCGTCCATGCGCCTAATCGGTGGTAGGTAGCTAGGTGCGTCCATGCGCCTAATCGGTGGTAGGTAGCTAGGTGCGTCCATGCGCCTAATCGGTGGTAGGTAGCTAGGTGCGTCCATGCGCCTAATCGGTGGTAGGTAGCTAGGTGCGTCCATGCGCCTAATCGGTGGTAGGTAGCTAGGTGCGTCCATGCGCCTAATCGGTGGTAGGTAGCTAGGTGCGTCCATGCGCCTAATCGGTGGTAGGTAGCTAGGTGCGTCCATGCGCCTAATCGGTGGTAGGTAGCTAGGTGCGTCCATGCGCCTAATCGGTGGTAGGTAGCTAGGTGCGTCCATGCGCCTAATCGGTGGTAGGTAACTAGGTGCGTCCATGCGCCTAATCGGTGGTAGGTAACTAGGTGCGTCCATGCGCCTAATCGGTGGTAGGTAACTAGGTGCGTCCATGCGCCTAATCGGTGGTAGGTAACTAGGTGCGTCCATGCGCCTAATCGGTGGTAGGTAACTAGGTGCGTCCATGCGCCTAATCGGTGGTAGGTAGCTAGGTGCGTCCATGCGCCTAATCGGTGGTAGGTAACTAGGTGCGTCCATGCGCCTAATCGGTGGTAGGTAACTAGGTGCGTCCATGCGCCTAATCGGTGGTAGGTAACTAGGTGCGTCCATGCGCCTAATCGGTGGTAGGTAACTAGGTGCGTCCATGCGCCTAATCGGTGGTAGGTAACTAGGTGCGTCCATGCGCCTAATCGGTGGTAGGTAACTAGGTGCGTCCATGCGCCTAATCGGTGGTAGGTAACTAGGTGCGTCCATGCGCCTAATCGGTGGTAGGTAACTAGGTGCGTCCATGCGCCTAATCGGTGGTAGGTAACTAGGTGCGTCCATGCGCCTAATCGGTGGTAGGTAACTAGGTGCGTGCGACACTGCAGCCCCGTCCGGTTTGTGTCGTCTTCAATGCGCGTCCCATTTCCGGCTTTATCATGGATGATTTGATGATCCTGCTTGTGTTCGTGTGTGTGATTTTTAAGAATTCTCAGAAATCACATTCTTGAGAATTTTCAAAAAATACACGCTCCATCACTTGGTGATGTGGTGCTCCTGCTTGTGTTCATGTCGCCCACAGGAGACATAGGCATGCGAATTCCATGTTCCAAGCTGTAACTGAGAACACTAGCAAAAACGCACCCTCTTGTTGAAAATGCTCCTGCACAGGGTGACAGTGGTGCACGGACGGAGTCTCAGGTGTGTCTTTCAGCCATCCTCTTGTCCGTCTCCCCCGCTTTCTCTGCCCCTCACCAGGCGGGCTGCTGATCGCCATGGGGCTGGTAACCGGGTTACACGCGCTGGTGCTCTTCACAGCGCCAGGAGCCATCGCCCTCGTGCTGCTAGCAGCCGTGCACGCAGTTTTTGGTGCCTGGCTGCTGCAAGCCCTCCTGGACCTCTTCCTCCTCATTCTCTCCCTCCCTCCCCCTGCCTCATTCCCCAGTCAGGCATGCTCCATGCTTATCCTTCACCGTATCCCCTTTGTGGCGCCTCAAGCGTCCTTAGAGGCGTCTCTTTCAGCTGTTTCTCTACTCACCCCTCACCTGCCGCCCCTGCCCCGTTTTCTGCCCCCTACCAGGTGGGCTGCTGATCGCCATGGGGCTGGTAACCGGGTTACACGCGCTGGTCCTCTTCACAGCGCCAGGAGCCATCGCCCTCGTCCTCCTCGCAGCCGTGCACGCAGCCTTCGGCGCCTGGCTGCTTAAAGCCTCTGCAGAAAACTTCCTCCTCATCGTCGCCCTCTGGCTCGCCGCCCAGGCGCTCTCCAAGCTGGCCCTCGCCGCCCTTTGGAGCCTCGTTTCGTCTTATGTGGTGCTGGTGGTGACGGCGGTGGTGGGGATGGGGTTGGCTGGGGTGGCGTATTTTGGATTTAGTGCCAGCACGCCGGTGTGGGCGCGGGGGGTGCTGGTGGGGGGTTACCTCGTGCTGTACGGGGTGGCTTTTCTGCTCATCGCATGCATGGCGTATGCTGGTGAGTTGTGTGGACATGGCATGTATGTGCAGTGATGGGTGCTAGTTTGGGTATAAAAGGTGCTGGTGGGGGGATACCTCGTGCTCTATGGGGTTGCCTTCCTGCTCATTGCGTGCATGGCGTATGCTGGTGAGTCAAGTCCAAGACTGCTGTTGTTGGGGCTGCTTCTGGGGTTGCCTGGCTTGGTACTTTCTGAAGCTTCCCATTTGTCCATCCACCACCCCTATTATCCACACCCTAAACCCTTACCTCTCTCAGGTTGGCGTCTTCTGGAGGAGGACCAAGAGGAGGAGCATCAGCCCCTGCACCTGATTTTTTATAATTTAAAAAAACACCCGTGGTCGACCCATTCCTCTGAGAACTTGAATCCTGAGGGTGCACCCAGTGATTATTGTGCTGACTCCAAAGTCGCCTCTTTCCAACGTGCCACTCCCCACCGCACTGCACCTCTCTGTCAGGGCGGCGTCTACTGGAGGACGAGGAGGAGGAGCGTCAGCCCCTGCATCTGGTCGTCGACCCGTTCCACTGAGAACTTCAAGCCCACGGGCGTACCCGGTGGGACCATCAGGGCCCGCTTTGCAAGGCATAGTGGTATGCCGTGGGAGCAGTCATGGGGATGTCGATATGGGAAGAAAGCCCTCTGCAGGAAGGCTAGTTAGGAATGTGGGTGGGAAGCAGTCAGATTCCGCAGAATGCCTGGAGGATATCTTTTCACGGTTGCTGACTTGGCATGGTGGCTGGAGTTGCGTGTTCTTCTTTCCGTGCTAGCTTGGTCCTCGGCTTGCTAGAATCCATGGTTGGTAGGGTTCCGTAGTTGCCTACCATTTGGATCAGCCTTTTTTTGTAGAGGCCTAGTGAAGCTCAGTTCAGTTCATGTCTTGTTTGAGAAACTAACCTTTCTACCGGTATTGTACATGAGGCTTACACAGTGCAACAACCACAGAATTACCAACCGGATATTTCGCAACAATGGTACATTGATGCCTGTTGACTGGGTGGAACTTTGACTTCAGATGAAGCATACCGGTACATTTTGTCTCAGCAACGATAAGAGAACTTCTGTTTTTCGAGCAGCATCCGACTGGTATTTTCAACGTCCAAATCCTGTGTAGCTAAGGATACCGTATTCTCCCGGACAAAACACCCCCCCATGATAGAGCACCCCCGGGTAGCTTGTGCGGGGTGGGTGCTATGGGCGACCTCGATTTCACTATACCCCCCTTTTTGGATGATTTTTTATAACACCCCCTTTTCTTACTTATTCTATATTATAATTGTTAACGAAGAGGTGCATGTAAGGGAGTATATCGAGAAAATCCCTCGATTGATGAAATTTCCCGGTTCTTTCACATCAAATCTGCCGAGGTTCCCCCCCGCCCACTATTTCGCTGTCGCCACGTGCTGGCGAATCTTTCGCTGCAGGTGGCTAGAGAGGTGCCAAATGACATTTTCGAGGGAGTGATGACGTTCGCGTCGAAACTCACATTCGCGCCTCAACATGTGATGTTAAAAAGCCCATGGAAACACTCAGCTTCTCTAATATAAAAAACTCTAACCTTAAAATATACCATATATATGCACCCGGGTATTATGTAGCTTTTTCCTATGAGAAGACACCCCCCTTTTTTTTCCTGTATTTTTAGATCTACCCTAGGGTGTTATGTCCGGGAGAATACGGTAGGCTTTAGTGGCTTTTCCTGTTCATTTAGTGGCTCCCGCTGAAGCATGGGTTACACGGTATGCCACACACGGGAGCATGGGAGCATCCTGCACTCAATCCCCTCCACACCACACCCAGAGCTAACGTGGATGGGAGGAACACTTATTGTATCTAGTCACTTGGCGTACTGCCGTAATCTGATGGATCAATCAAAAGTCAACCCTACAACACAATGGTATTTCTACCATCCAAGCCTGACAAGCAATCTCACAATGTAGTGCCCTACCCTACAGTATTTCAGGAATGCACACATGCACCCTACAAGGCATCCGGCAGCTCATGCATGCTCGAACTCTTCTTCATCACCTTCCCTCCCACCCCTGTCCCTCCCCCTGCTCCTCCCCCTTCAGCAGCACCGGCATCTAAACTCATCCGCACACTCCCTCCCATCATGCCTCCTCCCCCTCGCAACGGCCCATGCAATGGGCTTGAGGAAATGGGAGTGGCAGCGACTGAGTTGGCAAGAGACGCCCCTCTAGACCAGCTCCTCCCTTCCAGCTCCACAACATCCCCTCTCCCCCCTATCGACCCTCCGACTCCCCCCACCCCCGTGCTCCTCCTCCCCCCTTTCACGCCCCCTCCCCATCCCACACCAGACGAAACCCCCTGCCCAGGAGTGCTCGCAGCACTGTAGCTGCCAGTTGGCCGTGCGACAGTGGCCGGCGACTCGGCAGCGCGTGACGTGGCAGGCCCGGTGCTGCTGGGCGCGCCACGTAGGACCGGCACGCGGGCGGCGAGAGTGGAGTGGATCCGACCATACCTCGCCCGCGTGGCGTTTGCTGACTTGGCGACGATGACGTGGACGATGGGAGCAGGAAGGAGCGGCGAGAGAACCGACCGGATCCGGTCCAGAGAGAACCCGGAGAGGGAGGATGGGTCAGGGAGGACAGAGAAATCGTCTGGCTCAAGAGACCCTGATGTGGTCTTAGCTGCAAACGCAGCAGCAGCACCACCAGCACCAGCACCAGCAGCAGCACCAGCACCAGCACTAGCAGCGTCGGCAGCAGTGGAGGAGTATTTGATCGCGAGTTGGAGGTGGTGTGTGGAGCCACACTTGATGACCAGTGGGCCCTCCGCACTGTTCAGCTGCACTGCCGTCCACTCCCTCACCCCCTCCTGCTCCGCCCTCCTCCGCACCTCCTCCTGCCTGGCCGCCACACTACCTGCTGCACCTCCTGCTGACACTGCCCCTCCTCCTGCTGCTTCCCCTGCTCCTCCTGCTCCTGCTGCTGTAACTGGAATATGGTCCTTCTCTCTTTCCCTAGAGACGCCAGCAGCAGCAGCACTGTCTCCTCCCCCTTCCCGCCCTCCTCCTTCTGCTCCATCCGCTGTGCCTCGCCCCAGTCCATCCACCAGCCCGGTTACCTGACTCCACAGGGAGCTCCCCCCTGCCCCTGGCCCCCCTGCCCCTACCCCCCCTGTCCCTGCCCCCCCTGCCCCTGCTCCTCCTGCCCTCTCTTGCAGTGCCTGACCGCCTTGGGACGAGCGGGAGGGCGAGGAGGGGCGGCGGGAAGGTGAGGAGGGGCGGCGGGAGGGCGAGGCGGTGGCACTGTGGCGCGATGGGGAGGACGGGTGGTGTGCTGCAGCAGCAGCACCAGCAGCAGCACCACCAGCAGCAGCAGCTGCAGCAGCAGAGGTGGAGTGTCGGGCAGGAGAGGAGGCAGCACCAGCATGGGAAGCAGGCGGGGCACCTGCCTGCTCACCATCAGGAAAAAGTCGCCTGGAAAGACTCTCCTGCTGCCCTTGATTGCTGCTGCTGCTGCTGCTGCTGCTGGTGATGGTGATGTGGGTGGTGGGTGCTGGCATGTGATGGGTGCGTGTGGGGAGCTTGCTGCTGCTGGTGGTGGTGGTGCTGGTGGTGGTGGTGGTGGTCGGTGTGTTGGTGTGAGTGTGCAGAGCCTGGGGTGCCAGGGAGGGAACCTGCTGCACTGACAGCGGCACTGGTTTCCGAGACCCGCTGGAGAGGGGCGATAGACAGACAGAGCACAAGGGACACGAGCGCGGATAGGAAAGAGCAAAGGGGTCAGAGATAAGGGACAGCTGATAGGGAAAAAACATAGGAAAGTGGAGACAGAGCCTGGTGTGCCAGGGAGGGAACCTGCCACGCTGACAGCAGCACTGGTTTCCGAGACAGGCTGGAGAGAAGGACATGGGACACGTGCAAATGGGGAAACAAAGAATGGCGAGGAAAGACATGGATTGAAAAGGGGATGAGGAGGGGGAGGACGAAAAGGGTCCAATCGGAAATATGGAGAACAAAGGGAAGAACAAGGGGAAGAACGAGGGAAGTACAAGGGGAAGACCAGGGGAAGAACAAGGGGAAGGGGAGGCAGAAACGAAAGAACATTAGGAGTTGATGCTGCAACACAAGTGGCCAACATCGAAAGCCAGTGGTGGCATGAGGAGCACAGAACTAGCCCATGTGTTTCTTTTCATCCTCAACCCCTTGGATTGTACACCTGTACTGGTCAAACCCCGAGACTCACGGGGAAGAACTGCAGCGCGTAAGCGATGATCTGTTCGCCCACCATCTTGTCCGGCCCGGCCAGCACTGTTAACTCCTCCCACAGACCCACTACCGCCTCGCCAGAACCATCTCAGTCAGCCACAAACCCTGACCCCCAACCCCAGCACTCACGGGGAAGAACTGCAGGGCATAAGCGATGATCTGCTCGCCCACCATCTTGTCCGGCCCCGCCAGCACCGGCAGCTCCTCCCTCTGCTGCCGCGCCAGCCCCTCCCGCATGCCATTCACCGCCTCGTCAGGCGGCATGCGCGATGCTGACAGCGCCTCCATGGCGTCCTGGTGGGAAGGATGGGAAGCAGGACAGGGCAGGGCAGGACAGGGCGGGGTAGTGAGCAGCATGATTGAAGGGCTGTATTCCCCGCCAGCACTGGCAGCTCCTCTCTTTGCTGCCTCGCCAGCCCCTCCCGCATGCCGTTCACCGCCTTGTCTGGTGGCATGCGCGAGGCCGACAGCGCTTCCATGGCGTCCTGATGCTGCAGGGGTAAGAAGCAGGGAGGGAGGCCTCAACCTCCTCCTCCTCCACCCACCAGGTCTTCCCTCACCTCACCCACCTGCCACACACAGACGCTCTCTCACCCACCCTCTGACCCACCTGGCACGCGCGGAAGATCTTTTCAAGAGCAGCAAGCGACCCGATTCTACTCTCCTCCTTTGCCCCACCCTCCGCCTCCCACCGCTTGTGCCCCTCCAGCAGCTCCTCCCTGTGCGCCCCCAGGGAAGCGTCTGCTGCCACGTCCCTCAGCAGCTTGGCGCGCTTGTGCCTCACTGCCTCCAGGCCCAAACGCAGCTTGATCACATGCTCCACGTCGTCTGCCTCCTCTACTAACAACGAGGAGCCCACGTCCTGTGCACCAAGGGTGTGAGAGCAAGCCAAATGAAGTGAAAGATTTGGAGCAGGGGCGGGAGAAAGCTTGTGCCTCACTGCCTCCAGGCCCAGACGCAGCTTGATCACATGCTCCATGTCGTCTGCCTCTTCTACTAGTAGGGACGACCCCACGTCCTGTGCAGTGAGGGAAGAAGGCAAAACAAGGGACAGATTTGAAACAGGAGGGAAGGAGAGCTTCTGCCTCACGGCCTCCAGGCCCAGGAACAGCTTGATCACATGCTCCACGTCGTCTTCTTACTCAATTGCGACCGATACTGCCGGAAGCTCCAACCCAGCGCATCCTCACTGTACCGTATCAACGTGCCCGCCTCGTCTCACACTCACTCACCTCACATTTGAATACCTGGTGCACTCTATCACGCACCTTAAGGTTCCCCAGCTGCGACTGGTACTGTCTGAAGCTCCAGTCAGCCAGCACCCGTCCCAGCGCATCCTCACTATATATCTCATGAACGTGCCCAGCCCTTCCCGCCACTTGTCCACCACCGCAAGTCCTTGTGCACCAAACTCACCTTGAGATTCCCCAGCTGTGACCGGTATTGCCTGAAGCTCCAGTCAGCCAGCACCTGCCCCAGGGCGTCCTCACTGTACCGCATGAACGTGCCCAGCCCCTCCCGCCACCCCTCCACCACGGCCGCCGCCACCGCCACCACGTCCTCCTGCGCGTCCCTGGGCGGCTCACCCGCCGCCCAGAATCCAAACTGCGATCCGATCCACTGCAGCACCCGCTGCTCCAGGCTCGTGACGTCAGCGACGCGCGCGATGAGGTCAGCGGGGAGCGAGGAGGGGTGGGAGAGCGGGGTGGCGGTGGCGGCGGTGGTGGTGGGTTTGGCGGTGGCGAAGTGGGCAAAGACCAGAGCGAGCTCCTTGTGGCCCTTGGCGTGGTCTGCTGCCTCCTGCCGTATCTCCTTGATTCGTGCCTCTGACACCTGCCGTGGTGTGATGTGCGCGGTGCAGCATGGCACGGGGTGTGATTCAAAGGAGTGTGCCTTAGAAATGATGATTCAAAGGAGTCCAGCCCCTGACACCTGGGGTTGTGGGCGATGTGTGACAGCAACAGGCGGATGACTACAAGTGTAGGAGGCGCGGGAACACCTCAGCAGAAACCGGAGCGTACATTTGAATCACCTTGGGAAATCTTAAAAGTCATGCGTGTGATGCCAACAAGTGGAAACGCAATCTGAACGCGAATGCGTGTTGGGGAGGGAGAGCAAGCAACGGCCGCCGCACCTTAACAGCAGACCCTCCTGCCCCCGCGGCCTTCTTCCCACCCGCTCGGAACGACGGCAGGCGGAACGACGCACTCCCCCGCCGGTCCGCAATGCTCGCACTGCCCCCACCCCCTACGCCCGCACCCGCGCCCCCCTTGTCCCCCCCCGGCAGCTTGAGATCGAGGCGGAATGTTCGGAGGGTGGATCCGGGCGCAGGCGTGGCAGTGGTGGGGAGAGCAAACGTGGCGCTCTTCTGCAGGGTGGGCTTGGCAGGTTGAGGCAGGGCTTTCTCTAAAAACCGCTCGATTGCCGGTATCTGGTGGGCAGCAGGTTACGAAGGGAGGGGAGGGGCGAGAGATTGATGTTTCCTCTGAGAGTCGCTTCTCCCTCCCCACAGCTTGAGATCGAGGCGCAGTGTGCGGTGGGTGGAGCCGGGTGGAGGGGTGGCGGTAGTGTGGTGGCCAGGGAGGTTTGGACAGGAGGGGGAGCACGGCAGATGGGTGCAGAGGCCTGAGGGAGGAAAGGCAGCAGCAGGAGTGGCAGTGGTGGGGAAGGCAACAAGGCAGATAGGTGCAAAAACACCACCCACTATCCCCACACTCAATTCCCTCCACCCCACACTCACTTTCCTCCACCCCACACTCACTTTCCTCCACCCCACACTCACTTTCCTCCACCCCACACTCACTTTCCTCCACCCCACACTCACTTTCCTCCACCCCACACTCACTTTCCTCCACCCCACACTCACTTTCCTCCACCCCACACTCACTTTCCTCCACCCCACACTCACTTTCCTCCACCCCACACTCACTTTCCTCCACCCCACACTCACTTTCCTCCACCCCACACTCACTTTCCTCCACCCCACACTCACTTTCCTCCACCCCACACTCACTTTCCTCCACCCCACACTCACTTTCCTCCACCCCACACTCACTTTCCTCCACCCCACACTCACTTTCCTCCACCCCACACTCACTTTCCTCCACCCCACACTCACTTTCCTCCACCCCACACTCACTTTCCTCCACTCCACACTCACTTTACTGGACTGCACATCGGCTGACTTGGAGCGCAGCACGCGCAGAAGCAGCAAGCGCGTGCACGACACGAGCGGCCAATCAAGCGAGAGCGCCTTGGAGTGTGCCCACGCCAGCAGCGCCACCACCGCCGCCCGCACCTCCTCTGCTGCCCGCCCCTCCTCCTCACTGCCAGCTGGCAGCGCCGCGACAGCTGTCAGCATCTGATTGGCCACACAGGGAGAGAAGCAGTGCGGACAAATGAAGGAAGGATGGGTTCGAAGGGGGAAAGGGGAATGGGGCCAGAGTTGAATTGGGTATGTTGTTGCTAAGATGATGCAAGGCTCCGCACTCGCTTCTGCTCTCCACCACTCTCCTCTCCTCTCCACCACTCACCACTGCTCTCCACCACGCACCTCCCTCAAGCACGCGTTGCTCTCCTCCGCAAGAGCAGCAGCATCGCTCTGCGCGTCCACCATCACTCGGTTCATCCGCCCCACCACCTCGTCCCTCCGCCTCTCCCACTCCCCACCACCACCCCCCACCTGCTGCTGCTGCGGCTGCAACCCCCCTGCACCCAATCTCACACCAGCAGCAGCAGCAGCAGCAGCAGGAACAGCAGGAGCAGCTCCCTGCCTTACTTCATTCCCCTGCCCCTGCCCTTGCCCCTGCCCCTGCTGCTGAGCGCCCTGGCCTTCGCCTGCCCCTGCTCCTGCATCCCCGGGTCCCGCTGTGCCATTCGCAGTGACTACCTGAACCTGTCCAGCCTGCGCCTGTGCCTGGGCTTGCACATGGGCGTCCACCTTCATGAGGGCGGAGTTCTCGAGAGCCGCCTGGGGAAGAGAAGAAGAGGAGAGTCGGAATATGAGGAACGGAGGGGGATTGCACGTGGAGAAATGTCGTGGAAGAGAAGAAGCTGGGCAGGGAGATGCAGTGGGGCTGCGGAAATAGTGCGGTCACATCAGCCGATCATTCAACCTCCGCTCTGAAGGCTCACAGCTCACCACCAGCTATACTGGAATCCCTTCTAAGAACTCTCACACGTGATTCTACTCGGTCAACCACAGTCAACCTCGGTCTATTTTAGTCAGTCGCACTGACCAGCGCACTGTTGGTGGCCTCCAGGCGCGACAGCAGACTGGCATTCTCCGCATTCAGCTCCTGGGATTGGACGATGAGGAAGGGGGGACGAGAGGGAGGGGAGAGAGGGGGGTGGGAGGTGTTAGATTGAGTTGAACTAGGAAGAAACGTTCAGCACTGTTGGTGGCCTCCAGGCGAGAAAGCAGACTGGCATTCTCTGCATTCAGCTCCTGAGGATTGGGGGAGGGAGCGAGGAAAGGAGGGTTGTTGGGGTTAGTTGCGCCAAAGGCTCGACTTTGCCATGATTTCTAGTCCTCTCACCCTCGCACCAACAACTCACCCAGGTGAGCGCTTCGCTCTTCTCCAGCTCGTTCTTGTACGCGGTCATCTTCTGCACCGCCACCTCGTGGCGCTCTGACACTGCCGCACCCACCACCTACACTTTACCAACACAGACAGCCCATAACCCCTCAGCCTCGCAACAGCAAGCAGCTCACCCGGGTGAGCGCTTCACTCTTCTCCAGCTCGTTCTTATACGCGGTCATCTTCTGCACCGCTGCTTCATACCGCTGCCTCAGCTCCGCCACCTCTGCTCTGTCATGTTAACCACCTATGCTTTAGCAACACACACCCTAACACCTCTGCCTGGCACCAGCAACTCACCCGGGTGAGCGCTTCACTCTTCTCCAGCTCGTTCTTATAAGCTGTCATCTTCTGCACCGCTGCTTCATACCGCTGCCTCAGCTCCGCCACCTCTGCTCTGTCATGTTAACCACCTATGCTTTAGCAACACACACCCTAACACCTCTGCCTGGCACCAGCAACTCACCCGGGTGAGCGCTTCACTCTTCTCCAGCTCGTTCTTATAAGCTGTCATCTTCTGCACCGCTGCTTCATACCGCTGCCTCAGCTCCGCTACCTCTGCCGAGTCCTCCTGCGGGCGACGCAGTGCCGCCACCGTCGCCGCCATTTCGGCTGCTTCTGCCAGCCGCCCGTGCAGCTGCTCCACTTGAACCTGCCATGGGGGGGAGTGGAGAAGAAGGGAGAAATAAGAGGGAGGGAGAAATTAAAGAAAGCCCATTGCAACGCAAAGACTTGCTTCCATTGCTGCTCAGCTGCTTCTGCCAGCCGCCCATGCAGCTGCTCCACTTGGACCTGCCGTGGGGGGGAGTGGAGAGAAAAGGAGTAATCAGAGAAGGGAGGTTGCACCCCACTGCTGCCGCCATTTCGGCTGCTTCTGCCAGCCGCCCGTGCAGCTGCTCCACTTGAACCTGTGAGGTTGGGAGTGGTGCAGAGGGGGGAACTTCGAGATTGGGAGATGGAAGAGGAAGGGGATTTCGAGAAGAAGGGAGCTGAGAAAGAAAGAGAGTTGCTTTCCATTGATTCTGCCATCTCGCTGCCAGTTCCCCTTACGCCTCTATCGTATGTATCTCACCTTGCACTTGCACCCCTCTATATCACTTTGAACCCGTCTATACCACCTTCTCCATCTCACCTTGTACGCCTCTATCTCCGCAATGTGTTGCTGCTGCACGCGCTCCATCTCCTCCTCATGCTCCCTCACAGTCTTCGCACCCTCCAACACCGCTCGAGTCTCCCACTCCTCTTCCATCCGCCGCTGCGCCTCCACCCCTGCAGCCACCTCAGCCTGCAAGCATGGAAAGGGGAACAGAGAGATTTCAACGCAAGGGGTTTTGCGGCAGCTCGAAAGAAGGCACGGGGATTTGAGCACACGGCACAGAAAGAGGAGTTCAAAAGGCCGTTGCCTTGCTGCGCCTCCACCCTCATAGTCACCTCAGCAAGCAGGCATAAGCCTCTCCTCTTCAGAGTGGTGTTGCGCTTCCGCCAGTGCAGTCTGGGCCGTACCCAGCACTCACACACAAATTCTTACCCACCCTTTTCTCCCCCTTCTCACCATAAGCCGTTCCACTTCGGCATGGTGTTGAGCCTCCACCAGGCCTGCCTGCGCCCAGGCGCGTTGCAGCTCGGTCAGCAGCACACACCCCGTCTGCTCGCTCGCCCTCAGCGCGTCCTTCAGCCGCAGCACCTCCTGCTGTGCTTCTGCAGTCTGCCTCTCGCTCTCAAACACCTCTCTCCGCGCATCATTTGCCTGAGGGTAGGAAGGGTATCAAGAAGGTAACACGTGAACAAGTTGCAGCACCTCCTGCTGTGCCTCTGCCGTCTGCTTCTCGCTCTCAAACACCTCCTTTGTGCAACAATTGCTTACAAAAACCGGGGAGGAAGGGAGGATACAAGAACATGACTCTTCCACGCATTACAGCGATTCCTGCTGTATCTGTTGTGTCATCCACCTCTCACTCTCCAACGCCTCCCTCGCATCTTAGCAGCTAGCGTGCCCAGGCTGAGCTCGGAGTTGCGCGAGTGAGGGGCAAAGGCTAGCAAAGAGAGCCGACACCATGCCATGTCCCTAAATCAACCCATACCCACCATGTCGCGCCACTTCTTGATGGTATCGCGAGTGCCCAGGCTGAGCTCGGAGTTGCGGGAGCGGGCAGCAAAGGCCAGCGAGAGCGCCGACTCCACCACGTCCCTCACCGACGGGCTGCATGTCACCACCACCACCGTCTTGGCCTCGCCGCCTGGTGGCAAGAGGGAGAGAGAGAAAGGAGGCAACGCGGGGACGAGGACAGGCAGAGGTACTGACTCCAAGCGTCCCTCACAGACGGGCTGCACGTCACCACCACCACCGTCTTGGCCTCGCCTCCTGGTGGGGCACGGGAGAAAGAAAGCGCCAGCGAAGGAGAGGGAGGAAGGAGGGAAACTGGGGAGGGGGACAGGCATCGGCAAGGCACTGACTCCGCCACGTCCCTCACAGAAAGGCTGCATGTGACCACCACCATCTTGGCCTCGCCGCCTGGCAAGAGAGGAGGAGAGAGAGGAGAAACGCACAGGTGAGGACGAGTACAGGCATGGGCACCAACTCCACCACTTCCCAGGGATTTGAGGAGCTGGATGGTGGCTCTGGAAGGCTGGGCAGTGCACGTGCACTGTGAGATGCTCACCTTCCATGTGAATCTGGCTGGACAAAGTAATGTGCACACACGTTCCGGGACGATTGTACCTTTTGGCTATGGAGACTCTCATAACGACTACTGGCTGGCCCATGCAGCAAGGCGTACTGAGGCAGTCGGTCGGAGAGCATTGTGGTGAGCTTGGAGGTGCAAACGGCATGGTGGGAACCTTGTACCTTCTACATACCAAGGATCCTCAGAACAAGTACTCAGCCACACACCAAGGCAGGCCCCCAACGCACGAGGCAGAGAGAGAGAGAGCAGCGTGGTGGGCTTGGAGTTGCCGTGCGGCACGGTGGGACGCTTGAACTTTGTACCAGATATTCCTATAACGCATATTGGGTCGTACCGAGGCAGTCGGAGAGCAGCGTGGTGAGCTTGGAGTTGCCGTACGGCACGGTGGGACGCTTGCCCGTGAGAGCAGACAGACAGTCGCCCAGCCTGCAGGGGAGGTGGACGGAAGGGGGGGAATACGAAGCAGGCCAAAAAAAAACAGCAGCATATAGGTTTGAACGCTGCTTTGAAAAGAGAGCAAGCAGAAACCCGGCATTACAGCCTGGGGAAGGAAGGACTTGTGCACATGCAGCGGGTCAGGGTGAGCCTGTCCCTTTTTGCGGAGGGCGTTTGGAACAGCACAAACCACGTGCCACCTTTGCGTCACATGCCGAAAATGAACCGTACGCACACTGCAGGGAGCCGGTGGGGCGGCCCTCCGAGGAAGAGGAGGATGTTTGATTGAACAGCACAGACCATACCATGCCACCACAGAGAAACTTGACACCCCATCCCACCCCACCCCACCAGCAGCACCGCACGCTGAGAAGGATTTCTGCACATGCAGCGAGGCAGTGAGCCTGTCCCCCGAGGCGGAGGAGAAGGTTTGAACAGCACAGACCATACCACAGAGAACTCTACACCCCACCCCACCCCATCAACCCATCAACCAACAGCACCGTACGCTGAGAAGGACATCTGCACGTGCAGCGAGGCGGTGAGGCGGTCCCCCGAGGCGGAGAAGGATATTCGAACGGCACGCGACATATCATAAAGAGCTCCAAACCACACCCCACCCCACCAGCAGCACCATACGCACGCTGAAAAGGACTTCTGGACGTGCAGCGAGGCGGTGAGGCGGTCCCCCGAAGCGGAGGAGGAGGCGAGGAGGCGCTCGCTGGAGGCGAGATCCGCCAGCAGCAGCTTGCTGCTCTGCTGCTCCCCCGTCACTGGGTCGTCGTGATGCACTCGCACTATCACCACCCTGGGGTGCAGTTACAGGGAGGGAAGGAGTGGGACAGGGCAAGGAGGAGTGGGGAGGAGTGGGGGATAAGCAAGGATGCGAGTTCTGCCAGCAGCAGCTTGCTGCTCTGCTGCTCGCCCGTCACTGGGTTGCCATGATGCACTCGCACTATTACCACCCAGCAAATGGGGTTTGGGACAGCAAATGGGGGCAGCAGGCGATGGAATGAGAGTCATGGAATAGATTTTACAGGCTGTCTCTGCTGTTCGGCAAATCGCCAGCCACTGGGTTGTCAAGGGGGAGGGGAGGGAGGGGAAAAAGAGCCAATAAACAACGCAAGGGGAGCGTAGAGCTTACAAGTACAGATGAGAGAAGCAACTCACAGGTGGGAGAGCTTGTTGCGCTCCTTGCTGTCGCCAACGAGCCCACCTCCCCCAGATGCACCTCCCCCAGCCGCCCGGTGTTGCAGAGCCGTCTTGACCACCTTGGCATACTCCATGGGGTTGCTCACCACCTCCTCCCTCACTCCCCGTAGCTCCACCTCCCCCCACCCCCCCACGCCTGCTCCTGCTGCCCCTGCTGCTGCGGTGCCTGCTCCTCCCCCCGCAGCTCCGCCCCCCCTCCCGGCCCCCCATGCACGATTTCCACCTTCCCCACGGACCCATGGCCGGCCAGCATGGGGTTCACCAGCAGGTCGCTCAGCTGCGTGGGCAAGGGGTGAGTGAGACGGGAGAAACCGGAGGAGCCGGAGAAACAGACGAGATGGGATGGGAGATCCGAGAGCATGACGATATCTGAAAACGGGGTTAATGGACGGCCAGCATGGGGATCACCAGCAGGTCGCCCCCTTTTCAACTTTTGAGATGTCTCAAAAGGCCAGCATGGGGATACAAGCACAAGCAGGTCGCCCCCTTTCAAAAGGCAATCCTTACCAATCCACTCCCGCTCAGCAGCTCTCTCCTCGCCCATCCACTCCTCAGCAGCTCTCTCCTCGCCAATCCACTCCTGCACAGCAGCTCTCTCCTCGCCAATCCACTCCTCAGCAGCTCTCTCCTCGCCAATCCACTCCTGCACAGCAGCTCTCTCCTCGCCAATCCACTCCTCAGCAGCTCTCTCCTCGCCAATCCACTCCTCAGCAGCTCTCTCCTCGCCAATCCACTCCTGCACAGCAGCTCTCTCCTCGCCAATCCACTCCTGCACAGCAGCTCTCTCCTCGCCAATCCACTCCTCAGCAGCTCTCTCCTCGCCAATCCACTCCTGCACAGCAGCTCTCTCCTCGCCAATCCACTCCTGCACAGCAGCTCTCTCCTCGCCAATCCACTCCTCAGCAGCTCTCTCCTCGCCAATCCACTCCTGCACAGCAGCTCTCTCCTCGCCAATCCACTCCTGCACAGCAGCTCTCTCCTCGCCAATCCACTCCTGCACAGCAGCTCTCTCCTCGCCAATCCACTCCTGCACAGCAGCTCTCTCCTCGCCAATCCACTCCTCAGCAGCTCTCTCCTCGCCAATCCACTCCTGCACAGCAGCTCTCTCCTCGCCAATCCACTCCTCAGCAGCTCTCTCCTCGCCAATCCACTCCTCAGCAGCTCTCTCCTCGCCAATCCACTCCTGCACAGCAGCTCTCTCCTCGCCAATCCACTCCTCAGCAGCTCTCTCCTCGCCAATCCACTCCTGCACAGCAGCTCTCTCCTCGCCAATCCACTCCTGCACAGCAGCTCTCTCCTCGCCAATCCACTCCTCAGCAGCTCTCTCCTCGCCAATCCACTCCTGCACAGCAGCTCTCTCCTCGCCAATCCACTCCTGCACAGCAGCTCTCTCCTCGCCAATCCACTCCTGCACAGCAGCTCTCTCCTCGCCAATCCACTCCTGCACAGCAGCTCTCTCCTCGCCAATCCACTCCTGCACAGCAGCTCTCTCCTCGCCAATCCACTCCTCAGCAGCTCTCTCCTCGCCAATCCACTCCTGCACAGCAGCTCTCTCCTCGCCAATCCACTCCTGCACAGCAGCTCTCTCCTCGCCAATCCACTCCTCAGCAGCTCTCTCCTCGCCAATCCACTCCTGCACAGCAGCTCTCTCCTCGCCAATCCACTCCTGCACAGCAGCTCTCTCCTCGCCAATCCACTCCTGCACAGCAGCTCTCTCCTCGCCAATCCACTCCTGCACAGCAGCTCTCTCCTCGCCAATCCACTCCTGCACAGCAGCTCTCTCCTCGCCAATCCACTCCTGCACAGCAGCTCTCTCCTCGCCAATCCACTCCTCAGCAGCTCTCTCCTCGCCAATCCACTCCTGCACAGCAGCTCTCTCCTCGCCAATCCACTCCTGCACAGCAGCTCTCTCCTCGCCAATCCACTCCTGCACAGCAGCTCTCTCCTCGCCAATCCACTCCTCAGCAGCTCTCTCCTCGCCAATCCACTCCTGCACAGCAGCTCTCTCCTCGCCAATCCACTCCTCAGCAGCTCTCTCCTCGCCAATCCACTCCTCAGCAGCTCTCTCCTCGCCAATCCACTCCTGCACAGCAGCTCTCTCCTCGCCAATCCACTCCTCAGCAGCTCTCTCCTCGCCAATCCACTCCTGCACAGCAGCTCTCTCCTCGCCAATCCACTCCTGCACAGCAGCTCTCTCCTCGCCAATCCACTCCTGCACAGCAGCTCTCTCCTCGCCAATCCACTCCTCAGCAGCTCTCTCCTCGCCAATCCACTCCTGCACAGCAGCTCTCTCCTCGCCAATCCACTCCTGCACAGCAGCTCTCTCCTCGCCAATCCACTCCTGCACAGCAGCTCTCTCCTCGCCAATCCACTCCTGCACAGCAGCTCTCTCCTCGCCAATCCACTCCTGCACAGCAGCTCTCTCCTCGCCAATCCACTCCTGCACAGCAGCTCTCTCCTCGCCAATCCACTCCTCAGCAGCTCTCTCCTCGCCAATCCACTCCTGCACAGCAGCTCTCTCCTCGCCAATCCACTCCTGCACAGCAGCTCTCTCCTCGCCAATCCACTCCTGCACAGCAGCTCTCTCCTCGCCAATCCACTCCTGCACAGCAGCTCTCTCCTCGCCAATCCACTCCTGCACAGCAGCTCTCTCCTCGCCAATCCACTCCTGCACAGCAGCTCTCTCCTCGCCAATCCACTCCTGCACAGCAGCTCTCTCCTCGCCAATCCACTCCTGCACAGCAGCTCTCTCCTCGCCAATCCACTCCTGCACAGCAGCTCTCTCCTCGCCAATCCACTCCTCAGCAGCTCTCTCCTCGCCAATCCACTCCTGCACAGCAGCTCTCTCCTCGCCAATCCACTCCTGCACAGCAGCTCTCTCCTCGCCAATCCACTCCTCAGCAGCTCTCTCCTCGCCAATCCACTCCTGCACAGCAGCTCTCTCCTCGCCAATCCACTCCTGCACAGCAGCTCTCTCCTCGCCAATCCACTCCTGCACAGCAGCTCTCTCCTCGCCAATCCACTCCTGCACAGCAGCTCTCTCCTCGCCAATCCACTCCTCAGCAGCTCTCTCCTCGCCAATCCACTCCTGCACAGCAGCTCTCTCCTCGCCAATCCACTCCTGCACAGCAGCTCTCTCCTCGCCAATCCACTCCTGCACAGCAGCTCTCTCCTCGCCAATCCACTCCTCAGCAGCTCTCTCCTCGCCAATCCACTCCTGCACAGCAGCTCTCTCCTCGCCAATCCACTCCTCAGCAGCTCTCTCCTCGCCAATCCACTCCTCAGCAGCTCTCTCCTCGCCAATCCACTCCTGCACAGCAGCTCTCTCCTCGCCAATCCACTCCTCAGCAGCTCTCTCCTCGCCAATCCACTCCTGCACAGCAGCTCTCTCCTCGCCAATCCACTCCTGCACAGCAGCTCTCTCCTCGCCAATCCACTCCTGCACAGCAGCTCTCTCCTCGCCAATCCACTCCTCAGCAGCTCTCTCCTCGCCAATCCACTCCTGCACAGCAGCTCTCTCCTCGCCAATCCACTCCTGCACAGCAGCTCTCTCCTCGCCAATCCACTCCTGCACAGCAGCTCTCTCCTCGCCAATCCACTCCTGCACAGCAGCTCTCTCCTCGCCAATCCACTCCTGCACAGCAGCTCTCTCCTCGCCAATCCACTCCTGCACAGCAGCTCTCTCCTCGCCAATCCACTCCTGCACAGCAGCTCTCTCCTCGCCAATCCACTCCTGCACAGCAGCTCTCTCCTCGCCAATCCACTCCTCAGCAGCTCTCTCCTCGCCAATCCACTCCTGCACAGCAGCTCTCTCCTCGCCAATCCACTCCTGCACAGCAGCTCTCTCCTCGCCAATCCACTCCTGCACAGCAGCTCTCTCCTCGCCAATCCACTCCTGCACAGCAGCTCTCTCCTCGCCAATCCACTCCTCAGCAGCTCTCTCCTCGCCAATCCACTCCTGCACAGCAGCTCTCTCCTCGCCAATCCACTCCTCAGCAGCTCTCTCCTCGCCAATCCACTCCTGCACAGCAGCTCTCTCCTCGCCAATCCACTCCTGCACAGCAGCTCTCTCCTCGCCAATCCACTCCTGCACAGCAGCTCTCTCCTCGCCAATCCACTCCTGCACAGCAGCTCTCTCCTCGCCAATCCACTCCTCAGCAGCTCTCTCCTCGCCAATCCACTCCTGCACAGCAGCTCTCTCCTCGCCAATCCACTCCTGCACAGCAGCTCTCTCCTCGCCAATCCACTCCTGCACAGCAGCTCTCTCCTCGCCAATCCACTCCTGCACAGCAGCTCTCTCCTCGCCAATCCACTCCTGCACAGCAGCTCTCTCCTCGCCAATCCACTCCTGCACAGCAGCTCTCTCCTCGCCAATCCACTCCTGCACAGCAGCTCTCTCCTCGCCAATCCACTCCTGCACAGCAGCTCTCTCCTCGCCAATCCACTCCTGCACAGCAGCTCTCTCCTCGCCAATCCACTCCTCAGCAGCTCTCTCCTCGCCAATCCACTCCTGCACAGCAGCTCTCTCCTCGCCAATCCACTCCTGCACAGCAGCTCTCTCCTCGCCAATCCACTCCTCAGCAGCTCTCTCCTCGCCAATCCACTCCTGCACAGCAGCTCTCTCCTCGCCAATCCACTCCTGCACAGCAGCTCTCTCCTCGCCAATCCACTCCTGCACAGCAGCTCTCTCCTCGCCAATCCACTCCTGCACAGCAGCTCTCTCCTCGCCAATCCACTCCTCAGCAGCTCTCTCCTCGCCAATCCACTCCTGCACAGCAGCTCTCTCCTCGCCAATCCACTCCTGCACAGCAGCTCTCTCCTCGCCAATCCACTCCTGCACAGCAGCTCTCTCCTCGCCAATCCACTCCTCAGCAGCTCTCTCCTCGCCAATCCACTCCTGCACAGCAGCTCTCTCCTCGCCAATCCACTCCTCAGCAGCTCTCTCCTCGCCAATCCACTCCTCAGCAGCTCTCTCCTCGCCAATCCACTCCTGCACAGCAGCTCTCTCCTCGCCAATCCACTCCTCAGCAGCTCTCTCCTCGCCAATCCACTCCTGCACAGCAGCTCTCTCCTCGCCAATCCACTCCTGCACAGCAGCTCTCTCCTCGCCAATCCACTCCTGCACAGCAGCTCTCTCCTCGCCAATCCACCATCCCCCAACGACCTTCTCGTCGAACATCTGCACTGCCCTCCCCCCTGATTTACCATGCACGCACACACCACTCTCCACCCCTTTTCACCGCACCTGCTCGTTGAACATCTCGAGTACGCTGACGTGGAAGGTGTAACTGTCAGCAGGGGCGTATGTTGAGTTGGCAAGGTCGTAGATCTCATCGAATGCACGGTAGAATATGCCACGGTCGTGGGACGGGCCCTCCTGGAACAACGAGGGGGAAGGAGAGGTGGGAGGGGGGGTGCGGAACAATAGGGTTGTCATGGGAGCAAGTTCGTAGATCTCATCAAACGCCCGGTAAAAGATGCCCTTGTCGTGGGACGGGCCCCCCTGGAACAACGAGGGGGAAGGAGAGGTGGGAGGGGGGGTGCGGAACAATAGGGTTGTCATGGGAGCAAGTTCGTAGATCTCATCAAACGCCCGGTAAAAGATGCCCTTGTCGTGGGACGGGCCCCCCTGGAACAACGAGGGGGAAGGAGAGGTGGGAGGGGGGGTGCGGAACAATAGGGTTGTCATGGGAGCAAGTTCGTAGATCTCATCAAACGCCCGGTAAAAGATGCCCTTGTCATGGGACGGGCCCTCCTGCAAAACCAGGAAGGGGGGATTGGAGGTCCCCTATGTTAAGTTTGTGAGAAGAAAAGGTAGAAGAGAAGTTGATGGATTGATTGAAAGGATGGGGGGTTTACATAGGAGATGAGTTGGAAACTAGCCTAGGTGAACATTATTGGACCCCAACCAAGGAGTTGGGTTGGGAGATTATTGGTGGGGTCCAATAATGTTGGCCAAGTTGGAGTTGGGCCAACATTATTGGAGGGGACCAATAATTCTACCCATCCCAACCCTTGGGGTCCAATAATTGGACCAAGGTTGGGTTTCCAACCTACAAATTGGGTAACCCCTGCTTGTACACCCAAACTAAGTTTGGGTGCTTATCTCTAGCCTATCCTATAGCATATATGCAGGTTACAAGAGAGGAGATATTCTAACACAACCCCTTAACCTGCAGAGATGCGGAAAGGCTGGAGAGCAGCAACCCCTGAATCAAGGCGCTCCTGGAGGAGCGAGGCCAATGAGGCGGAGGAGAGCAGAGTGCGCGGGGCGAAGAAGTGCTTTGGTGAAGATATCCGCCAAATTGGCTTCAGTGGCGATCTTGCGGACGGCGATAAGATTCTGTCGGACGAGGTCGCGGATGAAGAAATAACGGAGCTCGATATGCTTGGAGCGACCATGAAAGACTGGATCCTGGGTGAGGTGGATGGTGCTGGCGTTGTCACACCAGAGCGTGGGACAGCGCTGGGGGGCACCAAGCTCTGCCAGAAGAAAGCAGAGCCAGCGGGACTCTTGAGCGGCCATGGTGCCCGCATAGAGCTCAGCTTCGCAGGAAGAGAGAGCGATGGCGGAGGAGCGGGTGGAACGCCAGCTGATAAGTCCGCTGCCGAGGGTAAAGCCATAGCCTTGGGAGGAGCGGCGGTCTGGCTGATTGTCTGCCCAGGAGGAGTCACTGAAGCCCGAGAGAAGGGGAGGGGAGGATCCACCCAGTGTGAGAGCGTGATCCTTGGTGCCGCAGAGATAGCGAAGGACCCGCTTGGCGGCAGCCCAGTGTTCCTCAGTGTGACGGCCAGAGCCGACGAACCGAGCAAGGACGCTGACAGGGTAGGCGAGGTCGGGGCGGGTGCACATCATCGCGTACATCAGCGACCCAACGAGCTCGGCGTAGGGCCGGGAGGAGGAGGAGGGGGAGGTGGGTGGCGCAAGTTGGTGACCGAAGGGGAGGGGGGTGGAGACTGGTTTGGCCTGCGCCATCTCAAACCTCTCCAGGACCTGGCCGATGTAGTGGGACTGGGAGAGAGTGATGGTGCGGGCGGATCGATCACGGGTGATAGCCATGCCGAGGTAGTTCTGGAGGGGACCAAGGTCCTTGCACTTGAGTCGTTCCTGAAGTGACCGCTTCATCTGGTCCATGTCGGCCCTGGAATCCGCCAGCAGGATCATGTCGTCAACGTAGACCGAGATGAAAAAGCGACTGGGGGAAGAGCGGATGAAGAGGCTGGCGTCGGAGTGGGAGGGGGAGAAGCCAAGGGACTGGAGAGTAGCAGATAGCTTCGCATGCCATTCTCGTGGTGCCTGCTTCAGGCCATAGACCGGTCGCTTCAGCTGCCAGACGGTGTTGTCGGGGAACTTAGCATGGAACCCGGGAGGTCGGCGGAGAAAGATGCGTTCGTGCAGTTCACCTTGCAGGAAAGCGTTGGAGACGTCCATGGAGTCAATCTCCATGTCGTCTCTTGCACCGATGTCAAGAAGGGTGCGTAGGGTGGCCTGCTTGACGGTGGGGGCGAACGTGAACCAGTAGTCCTCAGCCCAGGTCTGGGTGAACCCCTTGGCAACGTAGCGGGCTTTGTAGACTGGTTCTTCTCCCGGCAGCTGCTTGACTCGAAAGATCCACTTGCCCTCAACCAGGTTGGCGTCAGGAGGGAGGGGAACGTCAATGAAGGAGTTATTGTGGATGAATGCTTCACATTCCTGAAAGATGGCGGCTATCCACTTATCGGCGTCAGGGCAGGTGATAGCCTCTTGGAAAGTGGAGGGGACGAAGATGGTGGGAGCGGGGATCGCGCTAAGGAGTAGGGCGCCGAGGAGGTCAGGGGAAAGTACTGTGAGAGAGGGAGTGTGGCGCCGGACCATGGTGAACTCCTCATGGGAGTCCTCCAGTTGGTTGAGGGAGGGAGGAGACGGTGCACCAAGGATGGGGTCAAGGGAGCGGGTGTGCATGCGAGGGAGGAGGAAGGGTGAGGAGCGGGCAATTGCCCTGCGCCGCTGCTGCTGCTGGTGCTGCTGGAACCCCTGCTGCTGCTGCGGCTGCTGCCCCTGCTGCTGCTGCTGCGGCTGCTGTTGCTGTTGTGGCTGCTGCGGCTGCTGCTGCTGCCGCTGCTGGTGCTGCCCTTGCTGCTGCTGCGGCTGCTGCTGCTGCTGGAGGTGCTGCTGCTGGAGGTTGAGGAAGGGTGTGGGGGGAGCAAGGAGGCGGAGGTGGGCTGGGAGGTAGGCTGGATTGGTTTGGATATCGGTGGGGGAGGGGCGTGGGGAGATGTTGCCCCACTTTGGAGGAGTGCCAACGTTACCCCGCGCGTACCAGGCATCGTCGAGAGCCTTGAAGCACGTGCCAGGGGGATGGTTGGTCTGTCCGCAGGGAGTTCCAGCCCGAGGACCATAGCGGCGGACATAGGTGCAGGGAGGAAGCGTGCCAGGGCGACTCCCGCGACTTGCAGTGGGTCCACCCGAAGTGGTGGTGCCGTGCTCATCCCCAGTGGTGCCACCACGGTTGTTGCTGCTTCCCGAACCACCACCTCCCTTGCCCCCACCTCCTCCTTTGCCGTTGTTCTTTCCCTGCTTGCGAGGCTGGGTAGCGTTGAGGGAGGAGGAGGTGGGTTGGGAGGAGGCGAGGTTGACGATGGGTGTACGGAGTTTAACTTCGGTGTCGATAATCCACTGTTCAACGGAGGCGAGACCGGCCATGGGATTGGCTTCGGTAAAGGCGTGGAGGCGGGATTCGTAGTCTGGGGTGAGGTTAAAGAGGAGGCGGTGGATTTGAAGAGGTTCGGAGAGGCCGGCCTGGCGGGCTTCGAGGCGATCAGCTACCTCGCGCATGCGTCCGACGTAGTCGACTGCTCCGTCACAGGTGGCGAGGGTGATGGAAAAATACTCTTGGAAGAGGATGCCGACGGAGCTGATGTCGCGGCGCTCAAACATGGCATGGAGTTCTGCCCAGATGACCGAGGCACGGAGTTCCCGAGCCTGGAAGCGACGCATGAGGGAGTCAGGGAGAGCTCCAAGGAGAACGGTGCAGGCACGGGTGTCAGCAGCTGTCCAGGCGATGAGTCTGGGGGTGAAGTCAGCCATGTCGACCTTGTATTTGGCGACGACCTCGAGGTGAGCGTCGCGACCAGCAACCGCCTGATCATAGGCCTCAACTGCAGCATCGTACTCGGCTTTGCGGATGAGGTATTCACGGCGGCGTAGGATAAAATCAGTGTCCGCAGTGGCTTGGTCGGGGGTGATCTGAAGATCGGGTTCACGAAGAGGGTCGCCAGGAGTAGGAGGAAGAGGAGGAGTCTCGCCGGGGTGGGGAGGTTCGGTGGGGGGGAGGGCATGGGGGCGACGGAGGATGACGTCAAGGACACGGTAGGGGGGAACCCATGCGTCGGAGAGAACGCGTCGGATGCTGCCGACGAAGGAGTGCCAGTTGACTGCGGACTTGTCCGCGGCGAGCTGGAGCTTATCAATGGAGGACGTATCAATAGGGGGAGGAAGTGGGGAGGGGGAGGGTGTAGGAGTAGCCATGATGGACGGCTGCAGGTGGACCCGCAGTGGTCACGGAGGAACAACGGCGACGAGGCCGCGGGGGGGGGGGGGGGGGAGGGGAGTGGCGCGGGCAGCAGCGGCTGGCGAGGCCGCGGCGGTTGGCGCGGAGGCGGCGTTGAAGCCGCGGAGGGGCGCGGACGGCAGCGGCTGGCGAGGCCGCGGCGGTGCTGGCGGGGAGGCGGCGTCGAGGCCGCTGGAGGGGAAGGCGCGGGCGGCGGCTGGCGAGGCCGCGGCGGCTGGCGCGGAGGCGGCGACGAGGCCGCGGAGAGGCGCGGGCGGCGGCTGGCGAGGCCGCGGCGGCTGGCGCGGAGGCGGCGACGAGGCCGCGGAGAGGCGCGGGCGGCGGTTGGCGAGGCCGCGGCGGCTGGCGCGGAGGCGGCGACGAGGCCGCGGAGAGGCGCGGGCGGCGGCGGTTGGCGAAGCCGCGGCAGTGCCGGCGCGGAAGCGGCGACGGGGTCGCGGGAGGGAGCGGCGCGAGCGGCGGCGGCTGGCGAAGCCGCGGCAGTGCAGGCGCGGAGGCGGCGACGAGGCCGCGAGAGGGAGCGGCGCGAGCTGCGGCGCTGGCGAGGCCGCGGCAGTGCAGGCGCGGAAGCGGCGACAAGGCCGCGGGAGGGAGCGGCGCGAGCGGCGGCGGCTGGCGAAGCCGCGGGAGTGCTGGCGCGGAAGTGACGACGGGGTCGCGGGAGGGAGCGGCGCGAGCGGCGGCGGCTGGCGAAGCCGCGGCAGTGCAGGCGCGGAGGCGGCGTCGAGGCCGCGGAAGGGAGCGGCGGCGGCGACGGCGGCCGCAGTGGCGTTGGCGCGGAGGCGGCGTCGAGGCCGCGGGATGGGGCGGGCGGTGGCGGTCGGCGGGACCGCGACAAGGCGAGCGCGGAAGCGGCGGTGGGGCCGCGAGCCGTGATGGCGTGGGAGGCCGTGGGGCTGCGAGGAAGGGAGTGCTTGAGGAGAGGGGGAGGGTGGCGAGATAGCCGCGGAGAAATGAGAGAAGAGGCCGGGGGTTGCGGCGGCCTTTGAAAAAAAACTAGGAGCGTAGGCCTAGGATTTTTAAGAGCTCTATACCATGTGAGAAGAAAAGGTAGAAGAGAAGTTGATGGATTGATTGAAAGGATGGGGGGTTTACATAGGAGATGAGTTGGAAACTAGCCTAGGTGAACATTATTGGACCCCAACCAAGGAGTTGGGTTGGGAGATTATTGGTGGGGTCCAATAATGTTGGCCAAGTTGGAGTTGGGCCAACATTATTGGAGGGGACCAATAATTCTACCCATCCCAACCCTTGGGGTCCAATAATTGGACCAAGGTTGGGTTTCCAACCTACAAATTGGGTAACCCCTGCTTGTACACCCAAACTAAGTTTGGGTGCTTATCTCTAGCCTATCCTATAGCATATATGCAGGTTACAAGAGAGGAGATATTCTAACAAAGTTGGCGAGGTCGTAGATCTCATCAAACGCTCGGTAAAAGATGCCCCTGTCGTGGGACGGGCCCTCCTGGAACGATGCAGGGGTTTAGATGGGGAGTAGAGGGTGGAAGGATTGGTTATGGGACTCTAATTCATGTGTGCAAGATAAAAAATCTCATCAAACGCCCTGGACTTGGACCTCATGTGGTGCACGATGCGTTTAAGAGAAGGGCTGAACAGAAAGTGTGTCCCACGGTTCCTGCTGGCTGAATGCTGGACGCGGTGCGTGCGTCCCACCAATTCATACCATGGTGTCTCGAGTTTTGAGTCGACTCACTCGACTCAAAACTTGAGTCGACTCAAAACGCGGTGCGTCCCACCAATGCATACCATGGTGTGGGATTTTCCCGAGCCGCTCTGCCCGTATGCAATGATGGAGGCGTTGAACCCGTCCATCACAGCCTGCACCATGGGCTGCACCGCGTCCACGAATAGATCGCCTGCACAACACCAAGGGGGAGTGGAGGTAGTAGGTAGGTACAGAGTGGTTCAATGCGGTGACAGGCGTTGAACCCGTCCATCACAGCCTGCACCATGGGCTGCACCGCGTCCACGAATAGATCGCCTGCACAACACCAAGGGGGAGTGGAGGTAGTAGGTAGGTACAGAGTGGTTCAATGCGGTGACAGGCGTTGAACCCGTCCATCACAGCCTGCACCATGGGCTGCACCGCGTCCACGAATAGATCGCCTGCACAGCACCAAGGGGGAGTGGAGGTAGTAGGTAGGTACAGAGCGGTTCAGTGCGGTGACAGGCGTTGAACCCGTCCATCACAGCCTGCACCATGGGCTGCACCGCGTCCACAAATAGATCGCCTGCTCAACAACAAGGTGGAGTGGATGTGGAGGTAGTAGGTAGGTACAGAGCGGTTCAGTGCGGTGACAGGCGTTGAACCCGTCCATCACAGCCTGCACCATGGGCTGTACCGCGTCCACAAATAGATCCCCTGCTCAACAACAAGGTGGAGTGGATGTGGAGGTAGTAGGTAGGTACAGAGTGGTTCAGTGCGGTGACAGGCGTTGAACCCGTCCATCACAGCCTGCACCATGGGCTGTACCGCGTCCACAAATAGATCGCCTGCACAGCAACAAGGTGGAGTGGATGTGGAGGTAGTAGGTAGGTACAGAGTGGTTCAGTGCGGTGACAGGCGTTGAACCCGTCCATCACAGCCTGCACCATGGGCTGTACCGCGTCCACAAATAGATCCCCTGCTCAACAACAAGGTGGAGTGGATGTGGAGGTAGTAGGTAGGTACAGAGTGGTTCAGTGCGGTGACAGGCGTTGAACCCGTCCATCACAGCCTGCACCATGGGCTGCACCGCGTCCACGAATAGATCGCCTGCACAACAACAAGGTGGAGGTAGCAGGTACAGAGCGGTTCAGTGCGGTGACAAACGCGTCTGCACAGCTACATTCACACCCCTCACATCGCCCTGAGATTCAGTGTGATCACCCCTCACCTTGCCCCACGTGCGGCCCATAGATGTGATCACCCCTCACCTTGCCCCACGTGCGGCCCATAGATGTGATCACCCCTCACCTTGCCCCACGTGCGGCCCATAGATGTGATCACCCCTCACCTTGCCCCACGTGCGGCCCATAGATGTGATCACCCCTCACCTTGCCCCACGTGCGGCCCATAGATGTGATCACCCCTCACCTTGCCCCACGTGCGGCCCATAGATGTGATCACCCCTCACCTTGCCCCACGTGCGGCCCATAGATATGATCCAGCTCATAGTCCCTCTTTGCCAGCCTATTGAGACGTCTCGAAAGTCATTGCACTGCGATTCAGTGCGGTTCAATGCAACTGGCTCACCTTGCCCCACATGCGGCCCATAGATGTGATCCAGCTCATAGTCCCTCTTTGCCAGCCCGCTGCTGCCACCGCCCCCACCCAGAGACCCAGGAGACCCTGCACTCCCCGCACCGCCAGCACTGGCTGCACCGGCTGCAGCAGTGGCAGTGGCAGTGGCGGAGGGGTTGATGCGGATGGTGGTTTCGTCTGGGAAGGAGAGCGCAAGCGAGTCCTCGTGCTCGAATGCCGGGCGCACCCGACACACCACTCGGATGTTGCCTGGTGTGTGTGGGGGAGGGGGGAAGAGAGCAGAGAGGGTTTGAGGAGAGAAGAGGAGAGGAGAACGAAAGAGGGAAAGTGCGAGAGAATCCTCGTGCTCGAATGCCGGGCGCACCCGACACACCACTCGGATGTTGCCTGGTGTGCGTGGGAAGGAGGGGGGGGGGGAAGGGGGAAGGGGGACGCGAGCAGAGAATGATTCAGGAGAGAAGTCGAGACGGAAGAGAGAGCGCGAGGGAATCTTCGTGGTCGAATGCCGGGCGCACCCGACACACCACTCGGATGTGCCTGGTGGGGGGAGGAGAAGAGAGGAGGGTATAGAGGAGACGAAACTGAGGAGAGGAGAGTGCGAGGAGAGGGATGCAGGATGGCACATGGATTGACAGAAAGGTGACGCACTGCACACACCACACAGTGTCGCCACGTGGGAGGTGGAGAGAAAAGAGCCTCAGGTGGGTGGGTTGGGCATCACATTCGGACTGCATGAGAATGACAAAGAGCCTCAGGTGGGTGGGTTGGGCATCACATTCGGACTGCATGAGAATGACAAAGAGCCTCAGGTGGGTGGGTTGGGCATCACATTCGGACTGCATGAGAATGACAAAGAGCCTTTCAGAGAAGGCATTGAGAGGTCGCATCATTGGGAAGCAAAAGGTCGCATCATTGGGGGTCGCATGTTTGGAAAGGGATGTGCTGGCTGGGAGGTTCACCTTTGGACTGGATGAGGCTGTTGAAGAGCCGCCGACGCTCCTTCTTCAGAGGCGCCACCTTGGACTCCGCCTCCTGCGCCACCTGGTCTGCATGCTCCCACACATCAACGGACATACACACATTAACGGACAGACAGGCAGTGAATACGGTTGAGGGACGTGTTCCGATCCGAGTCAAGTGTAGCATGCAGCGGCGTTGGCTTCAGTGAGGAGTCCAGGCCATCAAGGCACGTACCGAGTCCGTGGGCCTTCTTGGCGAGCAGCTGCAGGTAGGTCTGGGCGCGCATGAGCTTGGCAGAGGCATACTCCTGCAGGTCGCATGCGTCCTGCCGTAGCTCCAACACCTCCTCCCTCGCTTGCTAATAGAGGGGGGGAAAGGAAGGGAGGGGGAGGAAGGGGGATGGGTTTGATAAAAGTTGAGGGAAGGGCGGAAGGGCAGGAGGCATACTCCTGCAGGTCGCACGCATCCTGTCGCAGCTCCAGCACCTCCTCCCTCGCTTGCTGGGAGGAGGGAGGGGGGCGGGGGGGGAACGGGTGGGGGAAAAGGAGAGTGGGATTTTGGAGAGGTTGATGGGAGGGGGGTATGTCTGGAGGCATACTCCCGCAGGTCGCATGCGTCCTGCCGCAGCTCCAGCACCTCCTCCCTCGCTTGCTGGGAGAAGAGAGTGGGGGTGGGGGAAGGGGTTTGGGGTTGTGGGAAGGGCGATTCGGTTAAAGGCATACTCCCGCAGGTCGCACGCGTCCTGCCGCAGCTCCAGCACCTCCTCCCTCGCTTGCTGGGAGAAGAGGGGGTGAGGTGGAGGGGGGGGAGAGTGGGGGTGCGGAAAGGGGGTTGGGGTTGAGGGGAGGGCGGTAGGGTTGGAGGCATACTCGTGCAGATCGCGCACGCCCTGTCGCAGGACCAACACCTCCTCCTTGCAACGGCGCGAGAGTGGAGGTTGGGGGGGGAAAAAGGCTAAGATTGGATGTCAGAGTGGTGCGAATGATTCTTCCAACGGTGCCCTCCTGCAGGTCGCACACTGTTGGCACACCACAGCGATTCCCGCTGCACGACACGGGGGTTAACGGATGGGGAGTGGCGGAGATTGACGGGGAGTGACGGGGAGTGGCGGGGAGTGACTGGGAGTGGCGGGGAGTGACGGGGAGTGGCGGGGAGTGGCGGGGAGTGACGGGGAGTGGCGGGGATTTGCGGGGACAGTGATGGGGAGTGACAGGGAGTGTCAGGGAGTGACGGGGCGTGAGAGAAAAAGGGGTGGGTGGGATGGAGGGGGAGAGAGAGGTGTGCAGAGAGAAACGCTCGGATACGCTGCAGCACTCTCCGATGGAGAGAGAACGTCGCACCGCTCACGTGTAATGAAAATGGCTGCAACGTTGCACGGCTGGCGGAGCGCGTAGAATGGGCTCCCAACTGATTTCTTACGCGAAGCACAGCGGATATCTCCCATACGCTCCGATAAACTCCATGAACTTTGCAGTATCAGCCGCGCACCGGAGGTGCATCTACCACCTCCTCCCTCAGTCACCGTGAGACTCACCCGTAGTCGATCCTTCAACCCGACCGCCTTTTCCGTTACCGCGGCCATTCGCTTCTTCCCGGCCGTCATGCCGCCTGTCGCTCCTTTTGACGGAGTGCCAGAGCCGGCACCTTTGACGGTCCGGCGAGTTCCGGCCGACATTCGGCCGGTTTGCGGAGGAGGACCGCCCGTGCTTGACGCCGCTGATGGCGGGTCTGACGACGGCCGACCTATGTCTGACAGCGAGGCACCATGGAACCATTGCTCGTCTGCCATGGCTGCTAATTCACCGTTCTACTGACGTCGATAAATCGAGTGATGGAGGTCAAACAGCCGCAATGCTGGTGCTACGGTTTCGAGCAGCGTAATACCATATAGTCTGATAAGGCCGAAACGTCGGGCGATACCGTTTCTTTAGCCTCCTATAACAGACAAGAAGGGAAATTTCTTCGAATTGAACAAGTAGGCAATGGAAATTGGGGTGGATAGACGGCTTAGAACGGAAACGCCACTATTTATATCGAGGTGCTACAAGCATAATGAGAATTTTCCTGTGTTCCTAGTGCCTGCAAAAAAACACGTGTTGAAGGAGAGGTTCCAGGCAGCCATTATCATGCTGTTTCCGAGCATGCCTTCACGTTACAAGATATCGAAGCAGGCATGATGCATCCCAAGCTGATCTGACAGCAGTCCCTGACACAAGAATCGAAGGAGAAATAGAGGGAAACGAAACGGAAGGCAAGACAGCTGACGGGGAATGGAGGTATCCGAAGAACATGACGACCAGGAAGGGCGGGGAATGGCGCGATTGGTTGGGATGGGCTAGAGCCGATAATAGGATGGCGACAGTTACCGTTTGGTTTACAAGCTACACCTCGTTCGCACACGAACGACGTTAGGCTCTACAGTTCTACATGCTTTTACAATCGCGCCAGATCCACACGGATCAGCGGCACCAAAGAGCATCACTTCTGAAACGAGGAAGACGCGTTACAAGCTTATGTCAAATCACAACCAGCTTCGTGGCAGTAGCAGAAGCATCCAGCTGTTGTGCCACGCTGGAACACAGACACAAACGAAACATCTTCGGGCACTTCCATCATCTTCTACCACAGGCCGTGGGCAGGCCTAAAATGAATTTTCTAAAGTGGGAGGATGAAAAGGCAATGGAAGCATATCAGTTGATAAGAATTAATAAACATTTGTCCTCCCTTTTTCCCGCCCGGAAGCCCACTTCTCTGTGCTCGACCTGAAGTCAGCCAATCTCGAGGTCCCTGCAGCCTGCTCGCATCTACGCATTCCGTCAGCCTAAAAATTCTCCCCTCACTGCCGTTCTGTTCGGGCTGCCTCATTCTTCTGTTTCCTTCACCTCCATTCCCTCCGTAGTTCCCGCTAGCACAGCACCACTCTCTGTCCAGGCAGCCTTAGCGCCGAGCACATACACGTCACAATGGCGGCTACCGCCTTTCATACAGCTGCCTCTGTGGCGTCTCCGTGCCTATCTTGCAAGGTCCGTTAGCCATTCCTACTCATCCCAAGGTCCGTTCACCACATAAATTGTAGGAATCTGAGCATTTTTTAATATGTTACTCTGGTTCCTGTGCAGGCGGGGACCAGGTCACAAGCAGCCCGATCAGCGATGCCAGGTAGGCACCTTCACTAGTCGAAGGCCGAAAGAATACCGTTTGCATGATGTATGATCGCATTTGTTATGTAAACCGTGTCTGTCTCGCTGTGTCTCTACTTCCTTTTCTCGTCTTCATAACACCTAGCACTTGTTTTCTATTAAACAAGGCCATTATTTTATTCGTCTCACAACATAACAGCTAGCAGTGTTTTCCTCTTAAACGGATCCATGTTCTCACTGGTAGTGTCCGTCGTTCCTTCGCCTCCCCTCAGTTCTCCCTTCCCGCTCCCCTTCCCGCCTCCCACCCACCATCATCTCTCCAGCTCTCCCGCTCAGGAGCCTTTCCTCCCTCTCCCAGTCCTCCGCCTTCCGCCAAGCCTGCGCCCGGACCTCGGCCTCCCGAGCCAGCAGCCTCGGCGCGAGCCGCCGGGGAGGCGTGACGGTGCGCGCCATGGCATCCGAGGGCGGGTCCGGCGGCGGCGGAGGCGGAGTGGACATCTGGGTTGGGCGGCTGGCGATGATGGGCTTCGTGGGGGCTCTGGTGATGGAGGTGGTCACTGGCAAGGGGCTGCTCGAGGTACGTTATGTGAATAGATTTTCGTGACTGGCGACGATTGGGCTTGATGGGCTTTGTGGGGGCTCTGGTGATGGAGGTGGTCACTGGCAAGGGGCTGCTTGAGGTGAGCGATGTGATTGTTTGGGGTGAGTGAAGCGCGTGCTTGGAGGTGCGCGGAGTGCGCGGACGATTGTTTGGGGTGCGTCGTGCGAATGTAGTCCCGTGTTTCGAGGAGGCTTGAAGTGGTGTGACTGGCGATGATGGGCTTCGTGGGGGCTCTGGTGATGCAGGTGGTCACTGGCAAGGGGCTGCTCGAGGTGAGCGATGTGCTTGTTTGGGGTGAGTGAGTTGTTGGTCGACGACTGAGGTGAGTGAGGGGGCGCTTGAGGTATGCCATGTGAATGAGTTATGGGATGGGGCTGCTCGAGGCAAGTGATCGAAAAGATTCACATTTTGTATCCACCCCCTTCTCTCTCTACCTTCCTGTTTCATCTATAACTCACAATTTCGCATTGCCCTCTATATCATTACTCCCACCAGTTGATTGGAGTGCCCACGCCGCTGCCTGCCTTGGCGCTGGTCATTGTGGCTGCCACGGGAGCATTCACAGCCTTCGGTGTCTTCCGCTCCTCCCAAGACTAGATCCCTCAATACTAGCCATTGTTAGGCATTCCTGTCCCTCCAAACGACAACACCCTTTGCATGAGTCGTGAATGAATCGATGTCATGCTTTTTTGTAAATCTGCCACTTGCAACACCACCAAGATGTTCCTCGCATGAGTACATAAACAGTCAGAGGCTTCGAAACTGCTTCCAGAACACACCTTTCGGCCACTGATTGCTTGCTGGATCTCCAACACATCGTATGCATGCATGCACAATCAAACAGACAACCCAATAACAATTATAAGCTATTTGATTCCCATCCACCATGGCCCATGCCTTGGCTGGTGAGATGCCATCATGCCATGCCAGCAGGACGCCCGTCTGCCACGGAGAGAATATGTGCAGCTCCACAGTGTACAAATGACCTACCGCTTCAGGTAGGGTGTTGGAATGGAGGAAAGGTGTGTTGTGCAGTGTAGCAAAGTGTGGAATGAAGCGTTGCTTTGCTGGTGCTGCAAGTGAAGTGTACTGCTACACCACAAAGTTGTCGATCACATCACATGCTGTATCACACTGGCTCCATGCGCCTTGAGTGTTGCTTGTATGGTAAGCGTTTTCTGGTGCTGCAAGTGGAGTGTACTGCTACACCACGAAGTTGTCGATCACATGCTGTATCACACTGGCTCCATGCGCCTTGAGTGTTGCTTGTATGGTAAGCGTTTTCTGGTGCTGCAAGTGAAGTGTACTGCTACACCACGAAGTTGTCGATCACATGCTGTATCACACTGGCTCCATGCGCCTTGAGTGTTGCTTGTATGGTAAGCGATGCTGGTGCTGCAAGTAAAGTGAAGTGTACTGCTACACCACGAAGTTGTCGATCACATGCTGTATCACACTAGCTCCATGCGCCTTGAGTGTTGGGATGTTCACCTGCAAGGCGTTGGTAGAAGGGTAAAAGGGTAGAAGGGTTGACAGTGGAAACACATGGGCTGGCCGTCACATGCTGTGCTGCACTGGCCCTCATGGACTTGAGCGTTGTAAAGTATGGAAACATGGAATGAAACCCGAATCGTAACATAATGCAAACAGAGAGCAATAGGAATTTACTCAGTTGGCAAACAAAAACTCAAACTAATAACTCCAGTTCATTCAATTCTACACAAAGAAAGTCAAGAGACTGGCAAGAGCAATGAGGGGCAATACCTGAATGAGGATGTGAGCGAGGAAGGCGAGTGGAGAGGATGCAAAGTTGACATCGATGCGCGCCCATGGAACACGGTTTAGATTGTCCACCATAGCGTCTGTGGTGGGGGGGGGAGAGAGGAGAGGCGTGAGAGGGACTCCTGAATTGTACGCACGAAGGCCGCATAAGAAATGCTTTCTGTGTTGCCTAGAAAATCATAAGATTGTCCATCATGCAGGGGGGGGAGAGGGGGGGAGAGGAGAGGCGTGAGAGTCATGAAAGGGACTCATGAGTTGCATGCTCGAAGGCCGCATAAGAAATGCTTTTCGCATCGACTACAATATCACTGAACCCATGGGGCACGGTAGAGATTGTGCACCATGGCGACTGGAGGGTTGAAATTGCGAGCGGAGAGGCATGAGGGAGTGAAAACAAAGCTGAGAGCCGTTGATGCGTATGGGATGGATGTTTGGAGGCAGAATGATGATAGCACTTGTGTGAGCCCATGGCATGCGACTGAGATGATCCATGATGGCATGATGGCATGACGGCAGGATGGCATGATGGCATGTTAGGGAAGAGAGGTGCACGGATAGCAGATTGACGCCACGGTTACTTGAATGGAGAAGGGCACTCAAATGCTAGCGGATACTCAGGTAGAGGGTGTCTCAAGAACCAGTGCAGGAAAACAAAACAGCGGTACAGATGGTTGGTTGCTGCGCAAATCATGATAACCAACACAAAAAAGAGGCCCTTTTTGAGGAATAGTAAACAGCGGAAGCATCTGTTGTGGCTGGGGAGAGAAAGCCCACCTTCCCACTGCATCTGTATGCTGTGTGCTTTCTGTGCTATCCCTGCAGCACGTGGCAGCATGGCAGCACCAGGACCAACAACAGCACCAGCAGCACCAGCAGCAGCAGCAGCAGGACCACCAAGAGATGCTCTCCTCGCCTTAATCTCCTCCCCACGCCATTCCTCATCACTCTCATGCCCTTTGTCGGTCTTCATCGCCCCTTGTCCTGTTCTGCTGTTGCCACTACCTTCCCCACTGCTGCCCCCACTCCCGCTGCCGCCACTGCCGCCACCACCACTGCCCCTGCCACTTGCGCCCCTGGGAACCATACCCTCACTCATGCTACGCACCAGTTGCAACCGGCCCCCCTCACCCTCCTCAGGTGAACCCTCAGGTGGATCGTCAGGTGATATCTTTGGGTTCTCAAACTCCTCCTCTCCCTCCTCACCCTGTTTGGTATGCCCCTTCTCTTTCAGCTTCAGTGGTTGCTGCTTGAACGGCAGCAACTGCTGCTGCGGAGAACCAAACCCAAAGCCAAGGCCAAAGCCGGGAGTTGCTGCTGTTTTTCCCCCCACTTTCCACCTTCCCTTCAGCCGCGCAAAGAAATTAGTGTGCTCTTTGGGCTCTGGGGCGTCACCTGCAGATCCATCAGACGGACCACCTGAAGGAGCACCTGAAGGACCACCTGAAGCATTGCCCGTGGCATTCCCTGCTATGACATCAGAAGCCTCTGTTGCTGAAGCACCTGTTGTGTCTGCTCGTGCAGCAGCAGCAGCAGCAGCAGCAGCAGCAGCAGAGGCAGCACTGGCACGTGAAGCATCACAAGCAACCAAGTGCAATGACGGGGTGTTGCCGTAGCATCCTTTCTCCTCCCCTCTTGCACCTGTGTCGTGACATCCTGGGGCGCTTGCCTCTGGCTCCCTTGGTTCGGCCTGCACTGCTGAGGTGTCTGATTCACACGGCATGGGCTGCACTCTCACGATGAAGCGATAGTCTGGCAGCTCGTGCAGCTCGTCAGGCTGATGGGTGGGTGGACGGGCAGAGAATGGGGGAGCAGGGAGAAGTTCAGGGAGCAGGGAGTTTTGGTGATTGTTTCAAAAGCAAGAAGTGGGTGCTTGGGGTTGGTAAGACTTTGTGGTTTCAGAGGCTAAAAAATGAGACAATAGTTTGGGAGAAAAGAGGCTGGTTGGAGGGGAGGTGGGATACACAGCGAAGATCCAATCCAACACGTGGATGCTGGCAGCTACAGACCAGCAATGAGAGGGATACGTCGAGTGCACAAACATGAGGTAAGGTGGAATAACAAAAGAGGAGAAAAAGAGCGCAAAGATGGCTTCTGAGTCGACTCAAAAGACAGGGTACGGTGGAGTGAATGGAAAGATGGTGGAGTCGAGTCGACTCAAGAAGGAAAGATGAGCTCACGGATGGCATCTCCCACTGGTGTGGAGTAAATTTGAGAATTCTAAAGAATACTCTGCATCGACAAGGTACGGTGGAGTGAATGGAAAGCTGAGCCCACCGATGGCATCTCCCACTGGTGTAGAGTATTTTTGAGAATTCCAAAAGAATACTCTGCAACGATAAGGTACGGTGGAGTGAATGGAAAGATGAGCTCACGGACGGCATCTCCCACTGGTGTAGAGTATTTTTGAGAATTCCAAAAGAATACTCTGCAACGATAAGGTACGGTGGAGTGAATGGAAAGCTGAGCCCACCGATGGCATCTCCCACTGGTGTAGAGTATTTTTGAGAATTCCAAAAGAATACTCTGCAATGATAAGGTACGGTGGAGTGAATGGAAAGATGAGCTCACGGACGGCATCTCCCACTGGTGCCGGATCGAGGCTGTTCGCCAGCCAACCATTTCTGCAGAAGGAGGATGGACGCAAGGGGAAGAGTGAAAAGCGGCGGTTGAGGGAAGAGCGAAGCGAGGGGAGAGGTAATACAGTGCAACAAGAGAAAGGTAGAAGAGAAAAGAAAAAGAAAAAGGACAAAGATGCGGAATCTGGACAACAAATGGGCTGAGGCAATGAGAGGTGAAGGAGATGAGGCGGACGAGGGGAGGGACAGGAAAGCAACAGGAGAGGACCCAATGCAACAAAAGGGGATGCAGTGAGTGCTTACGATCCCCTGAAACATTGGCGTATGCTGCTCTGTACTTGAATGCAGCGAGAGCAGACCTGTTGTTGGGGAAGAGGGGGGTGGGTGTGAAATTCAAGAGCACAAGGTATGGAGAAGACTGAAGAGGTTAAGGAACATCCTAGCGATTCCCCGAGACATTGGGGTATGCTGGTCTGTGCTTGGATAAAATGATAGACCAACACTGGCTGATGAATGGCCTATTGGCATTACCATCCTCGTAGATGGAAAGCTTTCTCCTGTGTGAATGAGTTCAGGCTTTTGAGGCGCCTCAAAAGAATGAGTTCAGGAACAGAGACCTACCGTCTGCCATGTTAGTTAAGCAAAGAAAGAAGAAGACAGGGAGCAATGAACCGACAGGGTGACGTACAGGAAGGGGCCTTCCTCGTTGTCAGTGGTCATGCGGAGCAGCAGAGGCAGTTGGTGTTTCTCCTTGTGACTCCCAACCCCTTTCTCCGTTGTCTCCTCTGAACGGCCTTCTGCTCCTGTCACTCTTGTCACTCCTGTCGCTCTTGTCACTCCTGTCACTCTTGTCACATCAATCAGGCTGCTTCCCAGCCGATGCAGCCGCACCATCCCATGCTGCTGCTGCTGCTTCTGGTGCTGTTTCCGAGCCGCCCCTTTCACACTGGCAAGAGCTTCAGCAGCTGCGTTGGCAGAAAGGTCAGCAAGGGGACGACCAGCGTCAACGGAGGAGGGGAGAGTCGTGTCGGTGCTGAGAGGGGGATCGATACCAGACGCAGCAGTTGAAAGGTCGACACGACTCATACAAGGGTTACCATTCACAGCGGCTGCTTGGGTTTTTCCAGCCACAGCATCACCCAAAGCATCAACACCAGCAGTGTCTGGTTGAAGATCAGCATTGGAGGTGGTGTCAATCTGAGTATTGGCTGCACCCACGGTTTCAATTTGAGGTTCAGAGGCATTGGAGCCAATGCGAGGGTTGGCATCAGCGGCTTCAATGCCATTTGGAGGGGCGAAGTCGGGTGTTTCGACAGGAGGGTCGACGTCAGTGAGGAAGAGGTGGCGGGCGGAGCGGCCGAGGAAGAGCGGTGCGAGCGGCACAGACGCCCTCTCGAAGAGGCTCACCTTGAGCAGAAAGGGCAGCTGGACACGTGGGATGAGGGATGGGTGGGTGGAATGGTGGATGGGATGGGAGGTTAGAACAGCAAAAATCCGAGGGCTTGGAGTGGAGTCAATGTGAGTGCCAACGTCGGGTGATTCGACAGGAGGATCCACGTCTGTAAGGAAGAGGTGGCGCGCGGAGCGGCCGAGGAAGGGCGGGGCGAGCGGCACAGACGCCCTCTCAAAAAGGCTCACCTTGAGCAGAAAGGGCAGCTGGACACGTGGGATGAGGGTATGGGTGGATTGGATGGGTGGACGGGCAGAAGGGAGGATGGGACGAGGGGTTAGAACAGGGGCGGGTGGGGGGGTCGACGGCATCGGGTGTTTCAACTGGAGGGTCAACGTCAGTGAGGAAGAGGTGGCGGGCGGAGCGGCCGAGGAAGAGAGGGGCGAGCGGCACAGACGCCCTCTCAAAGAGGCTCACCTTGAGCAGAAAGGGCAGCTGGAGATGTGGTGATGGCGGGAAGGGTGGATGGATGGGTGGACAGGCAGAAGGGAGGATGGGACGAGGGTTTAGAACAGGGAGAATGGAGGAAGAGAGGGGCGAGCGGCACAGACGCCCTCTCAAAGAGGCTCACCTTGAGCAGAAAGGGCAGCTGGGCTCGTGGGATGGGGGGACGGGTGGATGGGTGGGTGGACGGGCAGAAGGGAGGATGGGATGGGGGGCTAGAACAGGAAGCATGGAGAGGAAGAGCGGGGCGAGCAGCACAGACGCCCTCTCGAAGAGGCTAACCTTGAGCAGAAAGGGCAGCTGGGCTCGTGGAATGGGGGGACGGGTGGATGGGTGGGTGGACGGGCAGAAGGGAGGATGGGATGGGGGGCTAGAACAGGAAGCATGGAGAGGAAGAGCGGGGCGAGCGGCACAGATGCCCTCTCGAAGAGGCTCACCTTGAGCAGAAAGGGCAGCTGGGAAACAGAAGAATACAAAGAAGAAGAAGACAACACAGAATAGAACTCCTGAAAAGCTTTTTTTTGTCAATCCCAACCATGAAATGTGCCTTTTCTGGAACAAACCAGACTAGCTAACCGAACCTGCCACACACGTTCAGCCATCCACGTTCTGTCCCTCCCACACAGACTTCCACCTTCCTATTCTCCAGCCTACCAGCTGCTTAGAGCCTCGACATGCGGAAACGCTACAAGGAGGTATACTTCTCTTACATGCCCTTTCCCACGAGAGCCCAGGTGTGGTGAAGCGAGAGTGACAAAGTTCATAGGCTCCAGCCCTGCTATACGCGGCCCTTGGTAAGACCCGCCCCCTTCGACCTCCTCATCCTCCTCCACTTCTTCTCCTCCTTCCTCCTCTTCCTCATCCCCCCCCTGCACGTCGCAGCGGTCTCCATCAATGCTTCTGATTGCTGACTCTCTCGCTCGATCACCTTCACTCTCTGCTGCTGCAACGTCCCTCTCCCGTTCCTCCGCCCTGCCTCCTTCTTCAGGGAAGTCATGCTCCTTCCCCTGCCCCTGGCCCTGCCTCTCCCCATGCTGCTGCTGCTGCTGCTGCTCCTCCTGCTGCTCCTCCGCGTCTAGACACAGCATGGGAGGGAAACCCAAGTCTGCCAGCTCTGACTGCTCCTCCTGCTGCCGCAGAACATCCAGAACCGACACGCTTGGTGATTTCGGCATGAGATGGGCCGGCAGGGATGGTGCGTCGGAGGGTAGAGAGGAGGTGGAGGCGCATGCGGGGAAGGTGGTATCTGGTGAGTGCTCGCCTGGTGGAGGTGTACATGAGGAGCTCGAGAGACAGTCTTTTGCTGGTTGAGCCTCTTGGCTTGCTTTCCCACGCGGGTGATCAGCTAAGGGGTTGCTTTCATAGGGATTCCTGGTTGCGGTGTCATGCGAAGACGGTTCATGTGAAGACGGTTCATGTGAGGCAGGCTCATGTGAGGGAGGTTCACGTGAGGCAGGCTCATTTGAGGGAGGGCGATCTGAGGAAGGTGGGCATGCGGGTTGGTACATCTGAGCGATGGCGTAGCGTGAGAGAACACCCCCCAGCGAGTGAGCAATGAAGGAGATCCGCCGCAGCTGAGGGTTCCTCTGAATCACTTGGCGCACCTGGGAGTGAGAGAGGGGAGGAGGGGGGGTTGGGGGGAAGAAGCGGGAGCAAGGGCGAGGGAAGAGATGGGTAGTTTGAAGAAAATCAGCAGCTACAATGAGAATCGTGAGAACTCAGATTGGTGGATGGCTTACCGTCTGAAGAAACCGTAACTGCTGAGAAGATTGTACAGCAAGAGGAGGGGTGGAATGATATATCCTGTAAAACCATGGCGTGAAAGTCCTGAGTGGATATTTGTGTATGGACTGTGTAGTTTATGGTTCTTGGATGCTGGCTTGTTTTGCGCCTGACCTCATCTGCAAGGCGGTTGCCGACAACATCCACACCGTCCACTGTTCGCCTCAGCGACTCGCAGCCTGACATGACATTTGAATTGCACAGTATGGATCGACGGCATAGTTGGATGGCGGAAATGAAAAGCATGGATAACATGGTTGCATGGCAAAACATCATGGGATGGTTACGTGAATGGCTAGTGAGACGGCATGGTTACACGATGGGGTTGCATGGCATTACACAGTGTGACGGACATGAAATGCGCTGTTGATTTTTGCATTTTACAGGGGGAACGCAAAGGCAAAAACACTTGCATTCCGCTTGAGGGGAGACATATACACGTTTTGTGCAATCGGCATGCAAAACCTCTCATAGAAAATCACGAAGTCCATCCATCGACCATTTAGCCTGACTAAATACCAAAACATACTGTGCACGAGCAGATGAGGATCCCCATGCGCCTCCAATTGTGCCTTGGTGTACGTCCAATTCATGGGACTGCGTAAAGGTCAGTTCAGTACAGGTCAGGTCAGTACAGGCACAGGTCAAGGGTGCGAGGTAGAGAGACTGATGAGTATGCACAACGTTCCAGGGTGTTTTGGTCATCACGAAGAGACGGGGTGACAAATTAAGCGAATTTAACAAAGAAGTAGTCTGACGCTCAGAACTCCTCAATACTGAACAGCAAGCGAGCCATTTTGCAGCGAATTCGCAACAGCCTGTTCACAGCAAGCGAACCGCTTCCCGCGTAGGATTCTTTCAAGAGCCAACTTCCATGCTATTTTTCTAAAGAGCCTCCAAGAACCACTTTTTGATGGCCAACCTCTAGACCGTTCATACCTTCCGGACCTTCCATGCCTTCCGAACCTTCCACGCCTTCCGGACCTTTCATTCTTTCCAGCTACGACGTTAACAAGAACGACCAGGTGGTCCTTCACCGCGGTCCTCCTATCGATTGCTTCTTGCTTCCAACTCAACTCAAAAGCCTTCCGGACTTTCCATACCTTCCGGCGACTCCATTAACGAGAACGACCAGGTGGTCCTTCACCGCAGTCTTTCTGTCGACCGAATCTTGTTTTCTCTCGCTCTCCTTCCCTCCCTTCTTTCCCTTAGTTCCCGTTGCTCTTTTCGGCGCTTTCGCCGTGCGATGGGCCCACGCGAAAGTCGTGTTGCTACTACTTTCCTTCGCCTTGGATCCGCCATTCTGTGGCAGCGATACGATCCTCGCTCTTGTTCCAGGCAGTGCAGCTGCCATGGCTGCCAATAAAAAAACTTTGATTATTCACGTAAAGACTCTCGTAGTTGTCCGCTCACTTCTAGCAAAGAAAACAAGCCAGCTCGTGCACGAAATGCATTTTCCACGCTAGTGGATGCTTGTCACTCAAGGGAGAACACGGAGTAACATTGGGAACTGCAGGTTTTTCCTAAGCAGGATTCACTTCCTTCACAGCTCCCGCTCTTGGGAATCTCCTTGGCTTCGGGAATGCTTCACGCAGCAGCAGCGGTGGCGGGCGGTGTGATGTGACGGGTCCAGGTGTTTCTCCATGTTGATGACGCAACAGCAGTAGTGTTGTGCCTCGATAGGCGGCACTTCCATTTTGCAATAAGGGTGTACACAATAAACAGTTGTCCTCTCAAGAAGGAGTGAAGATAACTCAGCCTAAATTTACTTGTGAATCAATTACTGGCACATTCGAAGTGCCATTCGATATTTATTTTCGATGGCACGAACGAAAATTTGATTTGAACCAGGTACACGAATGGCACCATGCATGAGAACGAATTTATCAGGTGCATATTTTTGTCGAAGGATTACATAATTGAATAATGGTAGGTTACCCTTGTACTCTTATATCCTTGTCCACGTCAAAGCAGCACCAATCTGCAAGGTTTCAATTGCGGGAATCACAAAAGCAGTGGTCAGTGGATTGGCATTGACTCTGACCAAGAAGGGCACCACCGCTTGTGACACAGTCAGTGCCTTGTATGTTAAAAATTCCAGCTTACATTCACTGACTGCTTCTGGATAAGTGGCACAGGGCATGTGTATCGACGGTGAAAATGGCAACAAGCATGACACCAGAAAAACCAACAATGACAACCCCCTCCTCCTCCCCCCCTCCTTCCCTCCCTTCCCCCCCCTACCCCACCCCTCTCCCCGCTCCCCTCTTTTGTTCTTTGACTTTGAGCAGCATCAGGAGTTATGCATGCTGTGCACTCCAAAAGGCTAATCTCCTGGTTGTTGCAATTAGTCACTTGCTGTGATCTCCTGCGTGGTATGATTGCTCGTTTGCTGCGATCGCTCACTTGCTGTGATATCTCGCTTGTTCCAATTTCTCACTTGTCGTGGTCTTTCGCTCGTCATGATCTCTCCCTTGCTGTAAGCTCTTGCTTTCACTTATCTCTCGTTTATTGTCACGACTCTTAGATCTCTAGCTTGCTCGTTACCTCTCATTTTTTGTTACATATGTCGGGTTGCTGTGATCGCTCGTTTGCCCCATAGCCTCTCCTTTGCTGTGGTCCCTCGCTTGCTGTTATCTCTAGATTGCTGCTATCACTGTGCATTGTACACTCGTTCGCATTGAACTCTCACATTCGTTGAACTCTCGCCTGTGCCCTCTCACTTGTTGTGATCTCTCGCTTATTGTGATCTCTCGCGTGATGTGATCTCTCGCTTATTGTGGCCTCCTGCTCGTCCTGTCGTTGGTGACTCAGCATGTTGTCCATTCAACGAGGAAAGTAGAGATATCATGGCCTACCTCTGCGCGCCGTTCGTAGTTCCTCACCATTAGTTCAACACGCAGGTATTAACGGCGGTCGGGAAGCCATCGTACCCTCTTTATATGCCGATGGAGACATGTGCGAGGGCCCCTCTTTGCGCTGATTATCCCCCACGTGGAAAGATTGAACGAATTAGTCGCAGTGGCGGTGAAAAGGGCTACTTTTATGCGACTCCTGATCTCGCTAAGCTTGAGGCTTCCTATAT